TCACTCACTCCCTTCTACATACATATATACATTAGAAGAAATCCAGTGAAAAGAGATTTGCCGTAGGAGATGTAACTCTCTATGTAAAGTATTTTTTTTTAGATTTAACAGATGAGGAGAGGAGGCATCAAAAGCTTAGTTTATCCTTTCATTATTTGATTATTTCATTCTTTGTGTGTGTGTGTGTGTGTGTGTGTGTGTGTGTGTGTGTGTGTGTGTGTGTGTGTGTGTGTTTAAGACTATTTAGTCTGACTTGAGCAAGTGAAAGGGGAAATTTGGCTACTGTTCGCACATTTTTTGTCTGTTATTCATTCATGCACATGCACATATGCACATGCACTCATTGACAAGCTCACTTAAATATTTGCTCTTGTTTTGTTTTTATTTTTTTTCTTTGCTTCCTTTTTATTCCTCCCTATTCTTCTCATTCTTCTCCATCTTCTCCTCCTCCTCCTCCTCCTCCTCCTCCTCCTCCTCCTCTTCCTCCTCCTCTGAATTCTTCCTCTTCCTCCTCCTCCTCCTCTGCCTTCTTCCTCCTCCTCCTCCTCCTCTTCTGCCTTCTTCCTTCTTCCTTCCTCCTCCTCCTCCTCCTCCTCCTCCTCCTCCTCTTTTTTCGCATCTGTCCAATTCATCTGCTCAGGATAGGACCACCTAAGGTGATAATTTGGAGGCAAACAGATCAATAGTTGATGGTAAATCCCGGCCATAAATGTCACACGCTCAGTTTGCCTTTTGGCTAAAGGGATGAAAGGGTGTAATGTGCTCAACTTATAAGCCGGAGGAAGGGAAAAAGTTTGTAAGGACTGATCACCTGTTGGTGTTCCTTCTTTTTCTTCAGTTTCTTCTTTATCATTGTCTTAGTCTTCTTACATAAGTTTGTTGTGACAAATATCAAGGAAGTAGGTGTGGAGGAAAGCAATAGAGGATTTGGTGTTTTTGCCATTCCTGCTATTGCCATTTTTTTATATTTCTGACTGATATAATTTTACTCTTCTATCATATCATGACTTTCATTGCCATGATTCTTATCTTTACTATTATTGTTACTACTCACTTGTACATTTCTGTTCCTGCTCCCACTCTGATATTGATAGTGATGGTAGTTATTATTTTTACTATTATCTTGATTATAATCAGCTTAAGCATTGGTCTTGTTAATCATTATTAGTTGTGCTTTAGGTGATATCGTCTTTAATGTTTATTATTTTGAGGTTCGGGAAATTTGATATTGATTAATGGATCCTGCATGTCAATCATTTGGCCCACTCTGCTACCCACCCATGACCTGTGAAGGGAAAATTGATCAGGATATGAATTTATGGTTAGTGGTGTACATACAAATTACCGACAATCTTTGTTTACCCAAGAGATTGTGGACTTTGTGCCTGAACCTAGGGAGAAACGGGTATCATAGAGGATGGCAACAGTTTGTGAGGTTGTTGGTCGATAGGATGGTATTTATTTGAAGTCTTTGATTATATGGAATTTTGTTAGAGTGTGATATGTTATTTCCATTGCTATGATTTTTATTTGTTTATTTTTTATTTTTTGTTTTATTATTATTTTTGCTTTTTTGTATACTGACATTTATAATAGTAGTCTCTCTCTCTCTCTCTCTCTCTCTCTCTCTCTCTCTCTCTCTCTCTCTCTCTCTCTCTCTCTCTCTCTCTCTCTCTCTCTCTCTCTCTCTCTCTCTCTCTCTCTCTCTCTTTCTCTTCCTTTCTTTTAAATGCAAGGTAACATAACCTCAGGATTCATGAATATTGGATTCTAAATTACTGGGAGACCTCAAATTTCATAAATAGTAAATGAGTCTAAGTGGCCTACAAAACTACCCAGCTTGTGGATCAACTTAAGGTAGTAGGAGGTCCAGGCTAAGCCATTGTCTAGCATGTTATCAGTAACAAGCAGTGAGAAAGAGACTGTTGAAGTAATGACACTAAAGTCAGAAGGTTAACTAAAGTACATCATCAGCATCCTTTCATCACAAGTTAATATAGACCTTTAGCAATTTCGTCTGATGAGCATTACTAAGAAACTTCACGTCCGTTCCAGCGCCATGGTGGGAAATTACCCCTCCGAGTGTGTGCAGTGCCCGAGGGGTCCGTCATCCCCACAAAAAATGTTCTGTTCACTGTGGAAAGCACAGATCCCATGGTCCCTTGGGTTACTAACTTTTTTGAGGTAGGAGCTTTTTTTTTCTTGTAATTGAGTAATTGAAAGTGTGTTATCAGTTTGATGAAGTAGAACCCTTTGATATTTTTTGTTTGTTTTTTATATTTCTATATGATATCTTTTTGGTTCAGACTTTTAGAAAATTGTGGAAGTAAGTGTATGTGTATGTTCTTTGTTTGTTTGCTTGTTTTAGATTTTAACAAAATATTTATGAAGAAACCATGCATTTGACATATTTTCTAATAATGGCCATATTATGATTTTGCAGACTGTCTTTGTTCAAGTATGGTACCCCATGACAGTAGCAACAAATTCACGCATTCAGAAGCAGATAATCCATCGGTATCTAAAGGACACACATGATAACTTGGACTCCCTTCCCTTTTCTGTAAGGCATTTAGATTCCTAAAACTAATTCAATTTTTTGCCTTTTGTATAAACTTGCTTTACCAGTTCAGTGTTACTAAACTGAAGTATTATTCTAAATAAAGAAAATAAACAGTCATGTTTATTTGTTGATAGATTTATGTGTCCCTTGTTCATAGTCATTGTCCTTTTTAATCGTTGTTATTTTTTGTAAAACTCAAGCTGCATGACTTTGGATACCGAGGAGTTTCATCTATAGAGACTGCAGCCATCGGGGGAGCTGCACACTTAGTTAATTTCAAGGTAAGGCAACTTTCTCAGGTAACATTTGGAAGAAAAAAGAAAAAAAAAAAAAAAAAAAAAAAAAAGAATTTTCTGATGGATACTTGTAGTACTATTACTATTGTACCATTATTTATTTGTTTCAGTTGTCTATGCCAAGTATTAGTAGTGTGTAATGCAAGAATAATAGAAAGATTTTGAGTACCTTTAGAAATCGATAAACTATTAATGATTCTAGTTCTTTAATAGAACTAATATTAAGATTTTTCTTCTTTTTTTTTTTACTCTAGGGAACAGATACAGTTGCAGCTTTGCCACTTCTGCACAAGTATTATGATGCACCCATGGCAGGATTCACCATACCTGCCATGGAACACTCGACAGTAACCTCATGGGGAAAGGAGGGGGAGGTAGATGCCTTCCGAAATATGCTGGAGGCTTTTCCCAGCGGTAAGAAAAATGTCATGAGTCATTTGGTGGCCCTGCTGTGATGATAAAATCCTTCTTCCTTTGTTTCACTTTTGGATGTCTGTTTGTCTCTTTATGGTGTGAAAGTAAAGAAAAAAAAAACTACTTAGTTGTCATTAATCTAGGAAGGCTGTATCAATTACAAGGTCAGCTGTTCTGATAATATGGAAGGAAATTGAAGAATAAGTAAAGCAGTAAACCAAATTCATCAGATGTTTATGTAGGAAAAGTATTTATATTTCAGAAAGATAGAATTTTAAAGCTTAGGTGTTAAGAAAGATTGATAAACAAGTCTGCAAATGAAGAATTTATAAAATGGTTAATGAACACTACTGTATATCATATATGATCATGTTGAGTAACTTTGATTGACAATAAATATACTTTACAGGACCTGTTGCATGTGTAAGCGACTCTTATGATATCTGGAAGTGCTGTGAAAAAATCTGGGGAGAGGAGTTGCATGACATTGTTGTGGAGAGAAGCAAGACCGGGGGAGTACTAGTCATACGTCCAGATAGTGGAGATCCTCCAACTGTGGTTCTCAAGGTATGTATACTTATTCTAATAGCGGGCAGGTTTTCCCATTTCATGCAGTAGAGTCATGGGGGATGAGATGTTACTTATTCTTTTAACTGTCTTAGTTGAGAGGTATAGTTATTTTGAAAAAAGGCATTATGTGAGTATATACTGTTATTCTGGTTTTCTATTTTTTTCTGCTAGGATGATCATTGTACTGGCTTGTGTAGTTTCACGTTTTTGTAGCCATTTATGTGGGAGAAGAATTTGTATGATTATTAATATTCCTAATATATATTAGAAATTTACCTTCATAATTGTTTTTCCTTTTTTTCAGTGTTTAGAAATTTTAGGAAAAGCCTTTGGAACAGAAACCAACTCCAAAGGCTTCAAAGTTCTTCCTCCTTACATTAGGGTGATCCAAGGAGATGGTATATCCTACAAGACTGTGGGTATGTGACTCATGATGTGTTCTTAAGTATGGAAATGATACTCAGATTTTTTATATGTAATGGAAATATATTTATGGAAATTTTGTCCAGAACCTCTAAGGAAATATTACATCAGGATATCTTCATAAATATCATTGTAAGTTAATGTTAACCCATTGCTGCCGGGGATGGCATGTACGTAGATGCCATGCCCACTGTGAGTCGACTTGTTTGATTGTTTTTACACATAGGTGGCTACACTTGTACTAAGTCACCAGTGAGCCAATTACAAGTACGGCCTGTCTCGCCCGTTCACCCTTTTCATTGATTTACGAAAATATTTAACGTTATCCTAATTTGCTGTTAAAAATAACACCATCCATATTTATAGCACTAATAAGTATAATTCAAGGAAAGGTGAAATCAGGACTAGCAGAACCATCTATGTGCAGAGATATTTCACAAAAATATAAAAAATGAGTACAGATAGTCCCCTACTTAAGAACATTCTACTTATGAACATTCCATAAATACAAACAAAAATTTTTAAGTACTAAAGTCCAAAAAATTGTTTGAAAGATGCTAGCAAACTTCAAATTTCCCGGGCACAAATATAGTTCAAGAGTCTGGTACTGTATAAGGTATGTCGTACTTATTGGGATTTATTTACAGGTATTCTTAATGTAAACAAAACTTTAAAACAATGGGAAAAAAAGGAAATAGAGACCTAACTTTCGACATACAAACAAATCAACTTACAAACAGCCTCTCAGTTCCCATTATGTTCTTAAGTTGGGGACTTACTGTACAGCATTTTCCCCATTTTTTGTTCATTTTCCCTGGCGGCAATGTTTTTTTTTTTTTTCTTTCTTTTTTTTTCTGCTGTTATAGTCTTAAAGAAATTACTTATTTTTCATATAATATATTTGTATATACTAAATTGGACCTATTTATTATTTTTGATGTAAAATCTATGTTAAATTTAACTAAAAGTTTATTTTAATCTGCAGGTAGCATTCTAGAAAATTTAAAGAATCATGGCTGGTCTGCAGCAAATGTCTCTTTTGGCAGTGGAGGATCTTTGCTCCAAAAGGTAAGTATCTTTCTAACTTATATTAGATCCCCCCCCCCCCCACTTTGACTTGATAAACCCCTATGATCTGGATGACATGGCCATCATGTCATGAAAAAAATTGGCCTGAAGGGCAAGCAACCTGATCATGTCATGGGAAAATTTGGCTTTGGGGCTGGGGTGACATGAACTCGCTGTTGTGAGTGTTTCAGCTGAAGACCTGAGGGATGGGAAAGATTCGCCATGAGAGCACAAAGCTCTTAGAGAGGGTGATTAGACACAATTGCCATTTAGGAAGGGGCTTTTGCATTATTTCTATCAATCAATGAGTATGGAATGTAATGTCTGGAACCATAACTAGAAGCATTCCAGCTCCAGGGGAGGATGCTGTTTCCATGCTCAGGAGTCTATTCCTGTTATTATTATTGCACTGAGTTATAGACTACCCAAAGAGAGGATATGGAGTCTGTACAAGGAAAACAGTCTGCAACCATCTGGATAAAGTAGATCAGATGACAGATATAGGTAATGGTAAAAAGGCATAAAAGCTAAAGACGCTTATACGTTAAAAGGGAAAGTAACATTGCAAAGGGGAGACATGTCACCGCACGCAAGTGTTCATTTCCGCCCGGCCTACAAGCCACACACCCTGCAGAGTGTCTGCTCACATAAGCCTAATGCCCATATTTTGGGCCACATGATAGCAGTGAAACATCTGGATCCAATAGGTTGATAAGGCCAGACCTGAGGATTCTCTAGATTTTTAAAATCAATTAACAAAGTTTCTTTTTGTTGGTACAGGTAAACCGTGACACACAGAAATGTGCCTACAAGTGCAGCTATGCAATAATCAATGGAGAAGGTGTAGAGGTTTTCAAAGCGCCTGTCACTGATGTTGGCAAAACCAGTAAGAAAGGGCGCCTGGCTTTGCATTGCATTGACGGAGAGTACAAGACCATTGAGGGTGGAAAAGGGGATCCAAAACAGGTGAGAAGAGTTCTTGTGGTTTATTAGAAATTGCCTTTGGAAATGTCAAGGGAAATGGCTTCAAAGAGGAGAGACAGGGTGGGGATTTTTTTTTCTTTTCTTCTTTTTTTTCTCATCATTTTCTTCATGGTTTCCTTTTTTCTTGTCTTTTTTTTTTAACTATTTTTATGCTCAAATAAGATTTTTGTTTGAGAAAGAAAATACACTCAGAAATTAAGTGGAAACATTTGATATACAGTAACACATTTGTTCATTTGTGTGGTAAGAGTTGAAGTAGTTGGAGGTTCTGACCAAGCACAAGAGATCATTGGGCAAAGTCTGCCATATCCATTTTCATAAGCCAGCTAACAACCTGACTTTCATCAGTGGTATGAGTGTCAGGATGCCGTATAGTGCTTGAATACCCATAATGCTTCTTGGTTGTTTCCTTATTTCTTGCTTGAATTTGGCCATGAAAAGCCAAAATCTAATATCAAAAGACCCATCAGTGTGGGATCAAGAGCAATAGTGTTTTTGGGTGGTTGTAGAAGATAGTGTCTTCTTTTTCTAGTAATGGTGATTTATGTTTGTCTGTATATGTTATTATCTATTAGGGTTTGGAAAAGAAAGTGTTTATGTGGGAGGGTCATACCTGTATTGTGTAAATTTCATAGACTGAAGAATGAATGGGATTTTTACCTGAATTATATTTCTAATTTTCTTTGTATATAGTATGGTAGTTACAAATTTTATAAAATATGAGAAGAAATGCCTATTAGCTGTAGTTTCATAACTTACATTATCTTTCATGTTGATGGGACAGGACCTGTGTGTGTGTGGGGTGGTACCAGAACTCGCTGCCAGAGTGACTTATCGTTGTCCATATATATCTGAGACCCTCAAGACTGAACGGCCCTTTGGTGTGCCACCATTAAAGCTTGGCTGTACATTATCCCCACAAAGAACTTATTTAAAAAAAAGGACTGTAAATGGGGCTTGTGCAGTTTCTCTTAATTCTGTAGCCATGTCATCTAATACCAGTAAAAGTAAAAAAAAGAAAGGTGTGGAAAATCTCAGAGATAGTAAAAGTAGCAACAAGTGCAGCCTCTCCTCATCACAGACTCAAACAAATTTTGCTTATTCCAAGACCAGAAAGAATTTCAGAAATGCACAGTACCAGAACACAAGCTCTCCAACTTACCCACTTACACTTGAGTTAAGTCTCGGTAGTTACCGCAAAGCACAGTCATCAGCTATGGGCTCCTCCTCCCCTTCCCCAGCCCCCTCCTCTCCTTTGTCACCCCCCCTCACCCAAAACACTCCCTTCTCATCACCCGCTGCTTCGCCGACCCACAAACAACCACTTCAGTCACTACGTCTTGGCAAGGTGGGCCAGTCTGTAATGAATCAGGAAATAAGGGAAAAAATTGCTACTATTTTTGGAAGTAGTATTATGTACTTTCTATAGATTTTAGTCAGTATATTCTGTTCATTATAGCTATATAATTCTTTGTTTTACACTTGTAAATATCCAATGCAAAGCTTTATGTAATTTACACTTTCTTCTGGTTTTCCTAGATTTTTAGAATTTATGGAGGAGATATGTATTGTTTGTGTAATTTTTTCTTTATGTTCACCTTAGAAAAAGTATTTAAAAATTGTATATTCTTGCACCTAGTAGAGCTGTTTTAGCTTAATAGTTATGATACTTATATATGTTTCAGTGTTCCTTGTAATACTGTAAGCTGTTTTATTTTAGACTTTACCCATGAGGAAATACTCACTGAGGGAAGAGAAGAGGCACAAAGTTAAAATAACACATAACATATATCCTTGCCAAATGGCATTTGGCTTCAGTTCATTATGGCAAGAACAGGTGCACACCATCAGTAATGGGTTAAAATCTAGATGCACTGTTGGGAAGATTGCTAAGTTGTGTAATGATTGACAATTCTCTTTTTTTTTTTTCAAATATTGCATTGTTTTTTTTTTTTTTTTTTTCTTTTTTCTTTTTTCTTTTTTCTTTTTCTTTTTTGAGGAAATTAAAGCAGATCTTTACAAAAGTATTTCTTCACTGTATTAGCAGATTATTAAAGTTATTTGGGTTCACATGGAAAATATAGCTGCCTTGCCCTCCTTTGTACTTTATCGTTTATTTATTTTTTATTATTTTTATTTTCATTATTATTATTTATTTATTTATTTATTTATTTATTTATTTACTTATTTTTTATTATTTTTATTTTATTATTATTATTTATTTATTTATTTATTTACTTTTTTTTTTTTTTTTTTTTTTTTTTTTTTTTTTTTTTTTTTTTTTTTTTTTTTTTTTTTGTGCTGTGTGGTGCAGCGGTAGCGATCTCGCCTCGCAATCTTGATGGCTTGTGTTCAAATCTCTTGCCGCCAGTGGATGGTGACCCCGGCCATTCCTTGCACACAGGGGATAACTTTGAAGCAAAATAACAGACACTATGTCACACAAAGAATATCCATTGTAACAAATGGAATCAAATTAAACCTTTTTTAAACCTCCTCCTCCTCCTCCTTATAATTTTTTTTATTCTTTCTATGTTCTTGTGACTGTTTAGTACCATTTTTTTTTCCACTTTCTTTTAGAAAATTCAGCATTATGATGCAAGGTATTTATTCAAGTATATGTAAGTGCATTCTTATGCAAGATAGTTATTCCATACACAAGCAAGCTAAAAAAACAAATAAAAAATAAAAAAAATAAAATAAATAAATAAATAAATAAATAAATCACTTGGGAGAGTGGTGTGCAACCCATATGAGAATTAGTATGTGGTTAGTATCAGAAAATGTGCAGTTGTGATAAGCATGATATATAGAAATCAATAAACAAAGTACTGTAAGACAATGCTTCTTTTTGTGTGGAAAGTTCATTTTATTCCCTTCCACCTATGATGGTCCCTTGAGTTTATTTTGTCTTTTATTTTCGATTATTAGACATTAGGCAGTTGAAACAGTAATATTTAAATGAAGATTTGTAGAAACTTTTTTCGTTTGCTTAGCACTGTAATGATTCAAAAGAGAGGTTGAGAGAGTGATCAAGTAATATACTGCATGATTTATAGACAAAGTTTAAAATCAAGGTCCTTGTATCAGTTCATCTATGTCAGAATTTCTGTAATTATATTTGTTTATGTATAACAGTGTTGGGATGAAATATCTGCATTTTTGGAAATATTTTTTAAAATTTCATATTGCAATTATTATTGTTGATAACATTGTAATAATCATAATGTCAGTAATAATAAAAACTTCATTATTATTCATAGCATTAGGATAATGTATTTTTCCCAAACACATGAGGAACAGAAAAATCAGGCAATGTCACATAGGCCCACTAATTTACTCCATGATGGCTAAGTACTTGAGAAGCCATCTATCTGCAAATAGAATTTATAAAAGAAAAGTTGACAGTACATGTACCCGACAGCAATGGATGAATAATTTATTCTATTGGTAGTCAGAATGAATGTTACATTCTTTGCATGTATACATTTCTTTACTCTGAATTCATAGTTAAACTTATTTAAGTTCATTACTGTGAGTAGATTTGAAGTAACTATAGTATGCATAAACCATTAAAGATATTTGACTCTTTTAGTTCTAAGGTAATTATTTCATGTCTGCCATGATATTACTGTCTCTCCCTTTCCCTATCCTTAACTTCTACACTGTTTGTCCATACATC